CGTCCTCCGCGAGCTGCAACAGCGTTCGCAGCGCTAAGTAGGGCGCGGAGGCGGTGCCGTAGACCACCGTCAGCAGCCGGTAGTCCTGCACCTCCCGAGCGGGGTCCGGTCGCCACAGGATGCGCTGGAGTCGAGATCGTCGTGATGCACCGTGATCTGGCGGAACATCTTTACGATGTCCGTCGTAAAGGCGTACTTATACAATCGCCACCGCGAGAGAATCGCCCAGAGGTCGGACTGCAGCTTCACCCCGGGGAGGAGCAGATCGTTGAGAGAATGACCGGTAGCGGTGCGATGAGATGCGTTGAAGACAACGCGTATCTTCTTGGACGTTCCTTCGCTCTTGAAGACCGCATGGTGCGGCAGGTAATAGCTGTTCGCGCGTTGCACCTCCTCGATCGGAACAGCTGCCATGTGGCCGAGTTCCAGGTACTCGGCCATGAAGGCGGTGTACTGCTGCCGGAGCGTTGGGTTGCGCATTAGACGCCGCTCCAGGCCGGTCAGCATTACAAGCGCCTCTCGTCGGTTGCACGCTAGGCGGACGTCGGTGTCCGCGCGTCTAGGCAATCGCACCGTGTACCGACCACGCTCGTCACGCGAGTGCGTATTCGCAAACTGCTCCTCGCAAATGCGATCCTCTGGCGCCAAGGTGGGCTCGGCGGGCAAGTCTTCGAGCCGCCAAAAGCGCTGCAGAGCTTGATCTAGCTCAGACCAAGAACCGGACGCATGTAATGCAGAGGCGCGTTGGTCAGAGTCAGTCGGGCCTGTGGTCGTCGCCCCCAACAGGACCCATCCCAGCGCGGTGTTCTGTGCAGCGGGCGTACCGTTTGGACCTCGTATGAGACCCTCTCGTAGCAGACACCCGTAAGCCCCAGCTCCAAGAATGACGTCTACCGGGGCCGGCCTGTCGAAGTCCGGATCGGCGAGCGTCAGGCCGTGCAGGTGCGGCCACTCGACACGAGCCACAGGGCGCGTTGGAAGAGACGATGTGAGTCGCGGCAGGACTAGTGCCGACGGCAGGTGCAGGCGCGTGTCGCGATCGCGCGGTGATCCGATGTCGAGTGCAACAGCGTGGGTAGCGATACCGGAGTCAGCTCCCCGGATACCGGTCACCGGTACTCGTACGCGCCTCCTGGCCAGGCGGAGGCGCTGGGCGACTCGCTCGGTCACAAACGAGACCTCTGATCCTGAATCCAGAAGCGCTCGGACGCCCAACTCGCCGCCATCTGATCCGGAGCAAAGCAGCCGAGCCGTTGAGAGCAGCACATTCCCCCCGAACGCACTGGTGAGAGCCACAACGTTGGAGGCGACCGCTCCTGCCGATGCACTCGCTCCGGGGGTCGCGCCGACATCCGACCTCCCGGCAGGAGTCTTGTTTGCCGAAGGAGGGTCGTCTGGAAGATGAAGCAATGAGTGATGCTTTTCACCGCAACGCGAGCATCGATTACCAGAAGGGCAGTTGGATTCGTTGTGCTTCGGATTGAGGCAATTAAAACACGCGGCCATCTTCTTGACTTGTTCCCGGCGCTGATGCACGGAAAGCTCCTTGAATCGCGAGCAATAATTGTAAGTGTGGTTACCTTGGCACAGTGAGCAATGTCTGCCGCGCTTGGACTGGTCGGAAACCGTCGTCGCGAGCGCGTTTACCTTTGCCTTACGCTCCGATGATTTACCCGCAGGGGTTGCGGCCGGGACGACCGTTTTAGAGCTGGCGGCCTCCAAGGCTCGCGCGCGAGTCTGAATAAAATCCTGCAACTGCTTGAGCGTGGGGAAGTCCGTGGTCGTCTGCAGCGAAGACTCCCACAGCAG